ATCACAACATGACCGGGACACCTTCAAAACATGACCGGGACACCATCACAACATGACCGGGACATCATCACATGCCTGGGACACAATCACAACATGACCGGGACACCATCAAAACATGACCGGGACACCATCAAAACAGGACCGGGACACCATCACAACATGACTGGGTCACAATCAAAACAGGATCGGGACACCATCAAAACATGACCGGGACACCATCAAAACATGACCGGGACACCATCACAACATGACCGGGACACTATCACAACATGACCGGGACACCGTCACATGACCCGGACACCATCAAAACATAACCGGCACACCGCCAAAACATGACCAGGACACCGTCACAACAGGACCGGGACACCATCAAAACATGACCGGGACACCGTCACAACACGACCGGGACACCATCAAAACATGACCAGGACACCATCGCAACATGACCGGGACACCATCGCATGCCTGGGACACAATCACAACATGACCGGGACACCTTCAAAACATGACCGGGACACCATCACAACATGACCGGGACATCATCACATGCCTGGGACACAATCACAACATGACCGGGACACCATCAAAACATGACCGGGACACCATCAAAACAGGACCGGGACACCATCACAACATGACCGCGCCACCATCACATGACCGCGCCACCATCACATGATCGGGACACCATCAAAACATGACCGGGACACCATCACAACATGACCGGGACGCCATCAAAACATGACCGGGACACCATCAAAACAGGACCGGGACACCATCACAACATGACTGGGACACAATCAATACATGACCGGGACGCTATCACATGACCGGGACACCATCACATGATCGGGACACCATCAAAACATGACCGGGACACCGTCACAACACGACCGGAACACCATCAAAACATAACTGGGACACAATTAAAACATGATCGGGACACCATCAAAACATGACCGGGACACCATCAAAACAGGACTGGGACACCATCACAACATGACTGGGTCACAATCAAAACATGATCGGGACACCATCAAAACATGACCGGGACACCAGCATCACATGACCCGGACGCCATCAAAACATGACCGGGACACTATCCGCCCACCAGCTCTGACGGTGACCCGACGGCGCCCGTCCGCCTATTAGTTTTGCAAGACCCCATAGCATGGCTATTGGGGAATTATCCAAAAAGAAGAAAAAGGGTAAGGGCCCTTGAATTGAACGGGGTGTTATTGGGCCCTTACCTTTTTCTTTTCCTTTTATTTTTTTTCTCATACTTTACTCTCTGCGCTTCGCACTTCGAATCCCGAGGTAGTGATGCGGCACGGAGACAGGCGACGGGATCGACGGGACCGAGGGCCAACTCATCTGCAAGAGCCAATGAGTCGCTCCATCATCTCGCAGGCGGCCGAAAGAAAAGCAGAAGTTCAAGACGCGTCAGGAGGTCTTTTTGAAGTACTTCAAGAACAAAAGCGACACCGAGGAGGGACCCGGAACAGCCTTTTCGACCGTGCGAAGGGTCGAAAACGACATCCTTAGTTACTTACTCCACTTGCTTTTTGCTCTATCCTTTTTTTTGCGGACTTACTAGCATAAACTACTCGCCGGGTTCGTTACCGGTTGACTTTTTCCAGATAGCGAGAGCTATTGGGGTTCTTACTTCAAGAATGTGAGGAGGTGCCTGTGTGCGCGTTGGAGCTTGGGTGCTGGTGCCACTGCAGGGTGCCGCTGTCAGATGTAATTCTAATTAATCCTGACCACCTAACGAAATGAAATAATTATCGATAAGAGAACATAATAGAAATAGATTCATGACAAAATAAGAAATCGACGGTTAAAAGCTATCATCAATTCATTGACGTCATGGACATAATATAGAGAAAAAACAAACAACATAATAAGATGGAAAGACCAAAAGATGCAAGCCACGTCATATGTGGAATAGAGAATCAATTTGTATGTTTCCTCTGCATCTTTTTGGTTAATAGGTTAGCCACACTCATATTTTGTCAGAAAGTTGAATCGAGAATGACAACCATAACTTCGTCCATTACTAATAACCGCTCACTTTTATGAATGGGCTTCTTATTCTATATCTTCTACAGATTATATCCCTTTATCCTAAATAGCTACTTCTCCGAAAATAAGTTGAGGGTATAATGTATTTGGAAAATGAAGGTTTAACTTATTGAATCAAGAACCTGCTATCATTTGTATCAGCTACTTATTTCTATTTTATGTTCTTGGGCTCCACATTCTCTCTCTTTAAAGGTGAGCGTCTACCGTCTATCTTTCCCTTTTCTTTTGGCCTGAAGGACACCAAGAACCAGCAAAGATATTTTCATTTATATATTATTAGTAACAGCAACTCATTGTTCTCTCTTATCTTCATTCATTGGTGCACATTAATCACCTTGTGATCGTGTGCGCTTTGGAGCTTGCGTGCTGGTGCCGCTCAAGGGGGGCTGGTTCCGTTGGTGCTGGCGCCGCTGCATCCGCTGCGCTTGGTGCCGCTGCAGGGTGTGGTTGCCGTGTGCGCTTGGAAGCTTGGGTGCTGGTGCTTGGGTGCTGGTGCCGCTGCGCTTGGGAGCTTGGGCGGCGCCGCTGCTGGCCTCCACCTAGTAGCTTCTTGTTCTTGGAAGGAATGGCCTCCAACCTAATATCGATGGCCTCCACCTAGTAGCTTCTTGTTCCTAGCGATGGCCTCCACATAGTAGCTTCTTGTTTCTAGTGCAACTGCCTCCAACATGATAGCGATGGCCTCCACCTAGTAACTTTTGTTCCTGGTACTAATGGCCCCAACCTACTAGCAATGGCCAGTAGCTATTGGGGTTTCTACTTCAAGCATAGGAAGGGCTGCGTGTGTGCGTTTTCGAGCCTTGGTGCTGCGCTGCAGGGTGCTGCTGTTGTTCCAGTGTAGGAAGTGCTCCCACAGCTCCACCCCATGTTAATCAGACTAATCGATAACATCCAGCATCGATGACAGTGTAATGAAATCGATGACATTGTCGTGAAACTGCAGATTACAAATTTGATGAATTCGATGACAATGTTCTCCACCAAGATGCCAGAAAAAGGCAAATGGACCAAAACGTGGGCCGGTAACGAAGCTGACAGCATAAACTGGCATCGATAAGCTGTACCTCCTACTTCATAAGCCAATAGCGGCAGAGAAGAACCGCCTCCAGGTGAAGCTGAAGACACCTGAAGAGCTGGAACAGTTAAAAGATGCGCTGTTGCAGCTCGGCAGTGCTTTTTGACTCACCCTTTGGTTGTGCACTGGTTTCCAGACGGAAACTGACTATTGGCATGACAGAGGTATGACTTGCATCATTTGTTTGTGTCAGGAAGACCATGAAGAGTATTTCAGATTCAATGTCCCACATGCGCAGTGACATCAAGGAGCGTCCAGGCGAATGCGTGCAATGGCGAATGATCGCAAGCAATCTGCAATGACCGAGCTGTCGATTGCGTCCAGGTGCAGGGTGCTGTAGCTCTTGGGCGTGGATCCACAACTATTTCTGGCCAGTTGAGAAAGGTGGGAGCCTGGTTTTGAGTTTTAGGGAATTGCAGCGTGCTATGAGGTGAGTCTGCTAGGTCACTAGGTCACCAGGGTTGCTGATCATGGTTTTCCACCTGGAACTTCTGCAGTCGATGATGAGCAGCTGAATTTGAAAGAGTTGGAGCTCCTTAGCTGCCATTGAGGAGTGGAGTGCCATCAGGTGTTTGACTGGTATACTCCGTGAGGTCAGACTTCAACAACTTGGAACTGATGATTCCGGTCCTTTCCATGCAGGCCGAACAACGTCGAATTCAGGGCTTATCGTTTTTCCTTCGCCCCTCAGGAACGGTTCTCTGGCTTTGAGAGAAAGATTCAGATTAAGGACTGGGACGGAACGCCATGCGTTTTAGAAGAAAAGATGCAAGAACTTGCAGCCACAGTGTGGCATTTGCAGCCGCAGGCAACGAAGTTCAAGGGGAACAAGGAGAGCCGTGTGACAATTGACGTAAAGAAGCAGACAAATCCAGACTTTTCGAGGTGCGGGAAGTCCAGGTCATCGTCAAGTGGGGTGGTGAGTTGACGGTCCGGAGTCCCAAGGAGCCATCGGAAACGATAGCACTGCAAGTGGGTTGGAGGCCGCTATTAGGAGCAAGGACGCTACTAGGGGCTCCTGGCCTTACTACTAGGAACAAGAAGCTACTAGGGGCTCCTGGCATCGCTACTAAGAGCAAGGACGCAAGTAGGTTGGAGGCCGCTATTGGCACTGGGCTCGCTATTAGCCATCGCTCAGGTTGGAGGTCTGCAGCGCGCGGAATCTCTCGGCCGGATGTTACGCGCCCCGAAGCAATATGCAAGACTATTGACCATGTGGCGATGGGTAAAAAACGAAACAAGATGTTGCAAGGGAAAGTGCAAGGGAAAGGAAACCGCTGCTATTTTTCCCTTTCCTTCATGTTTTGGCTTGAGGAGAGCAGCTCTACTTTGAGGACCCTGCGGGCCTGCTGCGCCTGCACTCTTCTTTTCGGCATGATTTCAAGATGCTGGGCGTAAGGAGAAAGAGTCGGGTGGTCTGAGAGGGCTCATCAGCTTCTCCATTGCCTCTCCTTTGCTCTAAGGATCTACTCTTCTCAGGAGGGGCGATGCCTTATCACCGCTGCAGCCTTTACCAAGGGCTTTCTGGCGCCTCAGCGACACAAGTGAAAGAACCAACTATGGCCTCAACACGGCAAGCACTGCAAGGAGCTGGACGGAGATATCATCCCCATCTTGGTGAGCCTGGTACACTCGGAAGGTCAGGGTACTGAGAAAGAAAAACTGAAGTGATCGACCCTGACTAAGAAGCTGTTGGCATCTGCTGCCCTCTCTAGTTTCTTTTTTGTTTGAAACCGAGGTTATGGCCAGGCTGTCCTTGATGAGCCGATCCCAAAGAAGGCCTCCTTTTGAGCAGAGGGACATTTCAATACCATGCCTTTGAAAAACAACTGAAGGGAAGGGATGGGAAAGGGAAAGGGAAAGGGAACGAAAGGGAAAAAGAGGAAGGTCTAAAGAAAGCAGGTCTAAAGAAGGAGAAACAAAACGAGTTTTCACTTCCTTTTGCATGCAGGTTCGGACCAGCGTCAAGGAACAGATCGAGGATATCGTGACAACAGATCAGGAATAATTTGGAACGACTTGCAATTGTCTATGATTGAAGAACTAAACCGTTGCTCACAAAAACATGTTGTTTGTGTGTGTGTGTGTGTCTTGCAAGATCTGACACCAAAAGACATGGCCACTGAGCAGTTCTTAGCATTGCTGCTAGACTCCTCCAGGACATGTCAGAGCAGATGATTGCCAGAAGATGTCCTCCCACCAGCCTTGCACTGCGCAGCTGTGTAGAGAAGATCGGAAATCCGTTGAAGCTTTTGTGCCTCAGATGCGTGATAGATGATGGCATCATGATGCTTGGACTTTCTCGATGTAACGATGAGGTATCGCATCAAGGAGTTGGCTGAGGATCTGGGACGGCGGCAGGTGGAGAGGTCGAGGGAGAGAGGTCAAGAGAGTTGGAGGGCAGAGAGATCGCCGTAAACGAAGTCAGAAATCTGGAGAAGCGCTTTTGGCGCCTCTTTTGCAGAAGATCTGTTTTCCAAAAGCATCTGAGAACAAAAGCCCTGCAAGCTACTCCCACTTACTAAGTACGCAGCAGATGTATATATAAGGAGGAGTTGCTCCTGTTTCTGTTTTGAGTTTCTCTCTTCTTTGCTATGATCGACCCATATCGACCCTGAGTGCGTCAGGGCAAGGAACGGCTCATCGACTCAATTCCGTGCTTCTCGCGCGAGGAGTACATCCTCTCAATTTCAGCTGCAATGAAAAGATGTGAGCAACGGAGCCTCTTGTATGAACATGACGAGTGAAGTAAGTCGCTGCAGAGACACACACTTATAGAAATGCGTACTGACTTGACAGCGGTGCCACACGCCAGCCTAAGTGAAAACCTAAGAAAACCAGGACAGGTAAAAGTACGGTGTTCCAAACCACTTCAAAGCCTGCGTGGCCTCCAACTCCAAATCGACAAATCCAAAGCGACAATGCACATCTGCCGATGAGGAACCGATGCAAAGGCTGGACGTCTTGTTCTAGCTACAAGCAGGGCCCACGATAAAATTTCTCAGGTAAAACTGCACGTACGTTTACACGAACCCCAAAGGAGGTCTTCGTTGGCCACCGCTCCTCTGGGACCCGGTGGCCCCCTGCTGTCACGGAAAAGGAAAAGAAACCATTCCGACTGGAACCTTGTGAATCCAGGGGGGACACACACACACTCACTCAGGTCTTAACCCCGATCTACTAGTATCAGAGTATCAACATGTCAAACAAGCACAAAGCATAACGAAAGTTTCAATCCTCATCACACCAACAAACAAGGGTCAACAGATCGAGTTACAAATCGCCAATATTACGATGTACTACCACAAGATCTTCCCTTAATATAGAAGTGCAAGAAATCACAAACACGTGCAATCAACTCATGGCAGAAGGTGTAACACCCCCAAAAAGATGCAACAACATCCAGAACGTAGAAAGATTACTTTTCAGCTTAAAACCATCAACAACACCGTGTTTAATGGTGTTTTCTTATGCACCTTTCCCAAACCCTGGTTTTTAGTTTTTTTTCAAGAACAAAAGACACAACTGCAGTTGAGCCAACACCACTGTGTTTATGCCTTGTTTTCTTGAACATACAAGTGTCATCATGCATAAGACTCTTTCTTTCCCAAGTGATTCCTTTCCACAAATTTCCTCCTTGAGAAGCGTTTCAGTGAAAAACATCACCCTGCAAAAAGATTACTCCTATGTGAATGCCTTCTCCTCCATATAGGACCGTGTTGTCCTTTGGAAGGGCATCACATTTTGTGTTATTTCACATAATTTTATCCTTTGCACACGTTTTGCTTTATGAAACTCATCATCCTACATATGTAAGTGCGCAACCCTGAGCAAAAGACACCCCCCTTCATTCATGTTTGTGGATATGCTTGTTTGTAGGAGCTCAAGCAAGTTGTTTTGACCCATCCTTGTATGAATGGTTCAATGGTTCTCATCCTTTGTAATGTTTTCTGACATTGACATAGCGCACATTGACAAAGGCAAGTATGGTGCTTCGTGCCCTTTGCAGACCAAACCTAGGCAAACATGCATTCTTAAAACACATGGAAGTATCTACTGTACAGTCTTTAAAGAGGTACTGGTTATTCTTTGTAGTTTTTCATCCTGACAGAATATTATCTTTTTAAAAAAGGTCTTCCTTGTTGCAAGATTTATCATTTGTTCAACCAACCTTCATGCTCCTGAAAGCCCCTTCTCTAACAAGCATTGTACTGTTTCCTTTTGTAACTTTCTCCTGTTATCCCAAACTTTCAATCATTGTAGGGGCAAAGCATCCTTGAGTACGAGAGCTTGATTCCAATGAAGAGTAATCATAATTCGTCAAAGTCTGGTCCTTTCCCAGTCTCTCCCAGCATCACTAGCTGCTTCACAGATTCACAAATCTGACCGTGTCCAGACTTGTTCTGCTTGCCACACAAACAAACAAGCATGGGAGATAGGATTTGAACTCTAGTGGTGCAAGAGATGTGGGATTGAATGTATTGAGTACACAGCTCTCCCTTGTCAAGCGGTGCTTCTCAGCAACTGGGGTGAAATGGCTGAGATTTTGATCCTGAAGACGAAGCTCATGATGATGCTGTTCATTTGTCAGATATGCGAGGTTCGGTACCAGTGACTTGGATGACAGATCCTCTCCGACCTCTTACGGATTCGATGCCGATTCGATGAGGACCCAATGATTCCGTTTGATCTGGAAGAATCCTCCAAGCGGATGTATCTGCATTTGCGCCGAAAAGAGAACCTTGGCGCAAAATGCAGATGTTTTTACAGCGCCATGTATTGCTCGTATGTATCATGCGGAACGGTGCCGTCGTGTTTGACGCCTAAATTACATTTGAGGAATCGGTGGAAGAAGCTCTACAGCGGGCTACTTGTCAGTCTGAAGAAGCTTAAGCGAAAACAAAGCTAACAGCACCGATGATGGTTGTTTGCATCTTCCGAGGTTTGTGCGCAAGGACAAGCGCGGTTTTTGTGCACCAGATTGTGATCAGTGGCGCGCCTTGTTGCTACCCTGTCGTCTTTTTGTACGTCCGGTTGCACCTTGCAGAGGACAAAAAGGGCAAGAGCATGTTCGACACCAGCAAGATCCCGGATATTTGGGACAACCTTTACTATGATCTCATCACCCACAGGCTTGTCCCATGCCTTCAAAAAGTCATCATGTACGTCTCTGCTTGAGACACGCCAGGAACTACTTGGGTGCCGAGTCGGTCGAAATCGCAGAGAAGATGGTAGGCAACCTGACTTGGTTAGCCGATCCTTGAAACCTTCGCAAGAGGGGAACCATTGCGTTTTTTTTTGCGCTCATGAGATTCTGATGTGTACTCGTCGGTTTAGGTTTGGTTGAACCGCTGGCGGCAGCTTGGTGAAACCCAAGACACATCACATGTTTTGTTTCACATCTATTTGATCCAAGGAATGGATAGCTGACTCTGAGCAGCTTGGATTGAGAGAGGACACATAGGAAACTTGGTTTTGGTGTTCTCTTGGTTTTAAAAGAACATTGGATTTTTCTGGTTGTGGGATCTACTGTAGGTATGGAATCACAGAGGAGGAGAAGGTTCGCATTGGCATGGCTGTGAGTTGGAGATTGATTGGAAAGTGCCTCCAAGAACTCGAGTGTCTTGGCAAAGCCAACGCCAAAGCCTTTGCTTTGAAGTCCAGTAGCGAAGTGACATTGTGGTTTCTCCTCCTTTTGACGGGTTTCTTGTGTTGGCACATATCCAGTGTAAGCCAAGCTCACTGCAGTAAATGACATCAGCCTTGGTCGGCCCTTTTTGAGGCATTGCAATGCAGACTGCAAACCCGGGCTGCCTTTGGACAAGCCCGGCTTTGCACGTGTCTTGGCGATAGACCTCGGTGAATCATTGAAGCGTTTAAGAAACCATTTCTCCATTTGTCTCAAACAAGTATATACTCTTGGTATTCTTGCTGGAAGGTGAGGGAAGTTCCTCTCACATGCGACTCAAGTCACCAAACCAGCAATGGAAGATGTTTGATCAAGCTGTCCTGCTCATTCATGACACTTCCACACACATGTTTAAAACCCAACTGCTTTTGCACAGACCTGACAGGGCGCATGCTGAGTCGAGTAATTTCCAACCCTCCTGGTGGCGGCGGGCTCCTCGAGGAATCTGGAAGTCGTTTTGCTTTGGACATACAAGTCATTGTCCTTTTGACGACCGACAACACCAGAATTTCGCGAATTTTGTGTAGATCTTCATCCAGTGTCATTGCCACATGTCATCCAGGAGCCGATTCGCAGCACCTCTCCAACCACACCAAAGAGAGAGTCGTGCGGCAGTGATGGGGGGAGCGGATACGTGACTGGCGGTTTTCATTTCAGACAGGAACCGAGTTGCTTCATGTTGCTTTGAATCTATGGAGGGAAGAAACATGGAAAAGACAGAAAGAAGTAGAAAAACTCTCCTGGATTCTAGAGCTCTTCAGACTGCAGGAAAACAAACAAAAACGTCTAAAGCTTTATTCGTTTCCCCAAAACAGCCCGTTTCACTCTATCGTTCAGGATTCTGCTCCTGGAAGAAACCGAGCACTTCTAGGCTTTTGTTGCTTGCCAGGCTACTTAAGCCACTAGCTTCGCTGGCTTCTGGTCGGCCTACCTGCAAAGAAGGAAAACACGATCATGAGAAACAGAAACAAGGCCCTAAGGGATGCAACGATGGCCCCTAAGGGATTGCTTTCCCTTTTGACAAATTGGATTGTACACTGGCCAAACTGGGAAATCAAGGCATCGCCGAGAGAGCCTGGCGGACGGTGGTGGGAAAGAATGGCGCCTTGGTTTGGTTTGCGACGGCTCCTTTAACTTGGGGTCTTATTTTTGCAGATCTTTACGATAGCCAATGAGTTGGACACCAGCTTGGAGCATGCATCCTCAAGTCCGAATGACAGGCGAGAAATGGCCGCTTCCTCCATCGCAAGCTCAAAGCCGAACTCTCCTCCACCGGCGGACATCGTACCAAGCTCAGACACCTGCCTCTGAGAACAAGCATTAACGGGGCAATGCAATACTGTAGCCCCGAATCCTTTGGAGCGCTGGGGGCCGGCTGGGGTCAAGCTAATCCATGCGTTTTGAGTGTTTGGACCTTGGCTTCAGCTTTCGATAGCACGCCATGGCAAGACGGCAGTTCAGGAGGAATGGGAATGGGAGGACAGCAGATGGAACACCGGAGGAATAGAAGTAGTTCGTCCAACGTCGAACCTCAGCGATCCAGGGCCCTGAGAAGAAAGAACCCATCCAAAGACTGAGCTGCCAGCTGAGAAACGGAGGAGAGTGGCCAAGCTCGACTCAGGCTCAGGCTCACAACCAAACGCTGCAAGAGAAGCTTCCATGGGATCGAATTGGAATGGACCTGAAGAGTGTGGGCCCGAAGCAGGCGAAGCAGGCTGTACACAATTTTCTGGCTCGGTACAATTGCAGACCTGTGAACAAGATGTGGATTATTCCTCACATGGCCATCCCGTGGCGGCTTTGTGGCGGCATTGCATGTACCTGCTGGAATGACAAAGTCTATGAAGGAGAAGAACGTGAGGACGAAAAGGAAGCAGACAAATCTGCAGCTGAAGCCTTCATCAGCGATCCAGAAGTGATCGCGGCTGCCAAACGGTTGCCTCCTCCCTGTCGCCGGTTTCATAGAAAGTGCAATTAGGAAACAAGTGATCAGGAACCATGAAAGCCCATGTTATGAGACAACTTTTGAGAAGGCTCACCAATACTACCTCTCTTACAGAGAGAAAGGCTGCGACAACCTGCACCTGCTTTGGTCTGGGAATGGCTGAGTGAAAAAGGGCGGTGCTTTCAGTTTGGCCATCAGTGACATCGACGATAGCCAGGAGTGACCTGCCAAAGAGTTTGGAAATTGAGACAGGTTGCTGAATCTTCTAGCAACATGACATTGAGCAGACATGTACTTCAAAGCCATTGATTGTGACCTAACAAAAAAGCAATGGCCGCCTCCAACCTAATAGCAATGGCCTCCAACCATCTCAAATCTGATGTTTTTTCAAAGGCATCGATTGTAACCCTCTGAAGGCACAGATGCCGGTCGAGGAAGGAGAAATCTCGGTCATGTCAGTACCTTCGGAGATGCTCGGCAAACTCAGTAGCTTCAGAGGCGTGCTCAAACATGCTGGTTCTTCATTTTGATCTTCAACATCTATTTGTCTGAGGAAATCTGAAGTTGACTTCACCTCGCAACTCGAATCAAAACAGAATGGGCAATCCGTCTTGGAGTCGACGAGACCAAGTCACGTAGTTGGTTCAGTGGAGCGTGTTTTTTTTGTGGTTGAGGAAGTCTCTGAAGCGCTTGACGCCGGAGATGAGACAAAACATCACCAGATCTTTGCGTGATGACTCAGACTGGCATCCGCAAGTGCAACAGGAGGCTCCAGTTAATGGACGGAATCAGCATGAATGAGCAGGAACTGTGAGGGTTCTGGCTCTGAAACCTACATTTGAGTCCGGCAGGCTGTGGCAGTGCATCTTTTTTATCATTTGACATGCCACAATGTTACTTCATATTACTTCAAGGGCTTGCAACTGACGTTTTGGAATTGGGAGGCTTTTGTACAGGATTTTCTACCTGAATTCAGCATAGGTAAAGCCAAATTATTCAATGCAATCTGATGGTACAATGCAAAAACATGATAGCTGCCTGGCTCCAGAGTCACGGGGTTCTAAGTTAGGAACAAACCCGAAGCAGACAGTTGCGATCAAAAACTGGTTAGACCCCTGAAACTTGCGCCTCCCCAACGGCTTCCGCTTCATCGACACCCCTGAAGCACCGAATGAGTTTCGTGCTGCGGATCGGCACCTCGCTGCCTCAACAGAGAAGTTAGAAAGACATCGTCAAGAGGTAGATGAAGGTAGATATTATATATAATTAGTCATGAAGACGCAGAAGATGAAGCTGAGTATGAAGGTGAAGTGGGCGCAGGTCATATATAGGTATGACGATGAGATAGATACAGATGAAGGGGAGGAAGAGGAATCAACATGAAGATTATAGATGAAGATGAGTAGCCTTGAGAGGTCTTGGGCTGGGACAAGCAAGAGTCCCAAAGCCAAAGGAGTCTTCATACATTTTTGTTTGAGTTCTTTGTATTTTTCCTTTGAATGGCAGTGCACTTGCAGGTGTTCACATGCCAACACAGACTCTAGACACAAATATTGCAACCTCAGTTCACAGTTGCAATATATAAATTGAAGAACTAGATTGCCAAGGCTTGTTTCTGTATGTGACAGAGGCGCTTGGACCCAGTTTCGCGTGGCGTGGCAGTTTGGCCAGGTGCACAAAATGGCTGGATTAGAGGTTGACATGGTGTGACTTGGCCGCCTCGAAACCCTGTTGTCTCCCTTCCCCCACATATCCTCTTGCTTGGGACTTCCGACGTGGCGACCCTTTTCTTGCTTCTTCGCGATTCTTGAACTTGCTTGTTGTCAAAGCCAGATGAAGCTGCGAGGCGGTCTAGAGTTTTTATCACCTCGGCCTCTACCATGCACTCTTTGCTGAATGTGCTGCGATACGGTGGCTTGGAGAAAGACATAGAGCGACTGAGTGCGTGGTGCGCCTGGGAAGTGGAATTCAAGCGGTTGAATTCTAATTCTATTGAATTCTTGTTTCTAATAGCTTCTTGTTACTAGTAGTACGGCCAGGAGCCCCTAGTAGTGTCCTTGTTCCTAGTAGCGATGCCCTTTGTTCCTAGTAGCCAATGTTTGTGAGGTGAAGGAAAGCTGGCTCGTGAGGGTGATCGTGTTATCGACCTCAACTACTTGTCGCATATAGTGTCTTGAATGCAGCAGAATCATTCTGCAGGCACGTTGTGAAAACCTCACGGTTCGTTGCATGTCATGTTCTTGAGCCTTGGCATTGTGTCGGTTCGTCGCCTCAAGACAAGGGAGGGTTTGAGCTCATGTCACTTGGCCAAATGGCCCCCGACGCCGGCTGCTGAAAAGGTTGCGTGCCGGAGGAGATCCAGGGACCGGGAGTCGACAGGCTCCACATTCGCATTGGTAGCGATTGCCATCCTCCTGGCATTCGCGCTTGCTCTGCGGCCGGATGTACTTCGATGAGGACCTCTACGGCGCGGACGAGCTGGAGGTGGACGACTTCAGTGGCGCCGCCTTCGAGGAGGACGAGAATGAGGAAGAGCCGGATCTCTCCGAGGTCTATGACTTTGGTGGACCGGCCACTGCTGGTCCGACAGGACCCCTGACTGGCTCAGGCCATGGTGGCCTTGGAGACGGTCGAGCAGGACATGGTGGAGAAGCCGGCGGTTCGCCGGCGGCATCTACGTCACGGATGGCGCCTTCGACTTCCGGCGGCAGTCAACGTCGCCGACGGGGCTCACGAGGCTCCGGAGTTGGAGGCCCTGGTGCAAAGGCCAAATGGCGATCGGGTCACATCCCGGACCGCCGGCCTTTGATGGAAACATCGAGCACGAGCCCTTCTGCCTGAGGCACTACAGGAAAGCGCTCATGAGATGGGTCAACATAACCAAAGAGTTCCTCCCGGCCAATGAACAGGCCCTCAGAGCGGTCGACGCCCTGACGGGCGATGCCGCCTTGGAGTTGGAAGAGGTCGAGGACAGCCGCTACGACCAGGAGCAAGGGATCCAGACCCTCTTGGCCGACCTCGAGATCTCTTTCGGCGAGAAGGAGCTGTTCCGGAAGGGCGGACGCATCCGAGAGTTCGAATCCTTGGTTCGAGTCCAAGGAGAGTCTGTCAACGCCTTCGTAAGGCGATTCCGCCTGATGGAGCGCAAGCTGAAGGACGCCCAGCTTCCGCAGTACCCTGAGGAGACTCGGGCCGTGAAACTGTTGGATGGACTGAAGCTGGAGGAACGTGCGACAGCACAATTGTTGTTGGCGGCTGGCAACAAGTACAATTTCCAAGCATTGCTGGATGCGATCAAGATCCAGTATCCGCCCGGCCTGACGCTCACGGGGCTCGCTCGACATCAATCCACGGCACCTCAACCAGTTCGCCGCGGACGTGGTGGTCACCCCAAAGGCCGAGGCCGACTTCAGATGAAATGGAAAACCTGGAACACTGCTGTTGATGAGTTCCAGGATGAACCAACACAGGAGCCCGAGCCTGACCATGAGGCCTTCATCAACGACATTCAGGACTTTGACATCGAGCCGAATGACGACACCTTCGACTACCAGTTCGATGAAGAGGAAGAGGCCGATTGGGCCGACGCTGAACCTGGCGAAGATGGCAATGAAGCTGATGCCATCAATGCCAATGAGGCCGACGACCACCAGGCCTACACAGCGACCAGCAAGAAGCTGGCAACCTCGGTTCAAGCACGTGGCTACTACACCAATGCCACGATGACCAAAGGCAAAGGCAAGAGCTCTTCCAGTCACTCTGGCGGGAAGGGCAAGGAGAAGGGTGACGGCAAAAAGGGTTCATCTTTTTCATCTTCTTCTTTTTCAAACCCCAAGGGTCGAGGGAAAGGCAGCGGCTCGAAGGGGTCAAAAGGGAAAGGAAAAGGGTCAGCCACACACAAGCACAGACTTCAGTCCAGTTTGTGTTTGGGTTGTGGCTCATCAGAGCACTGGCTTCGCGAGTGCCCGCATGTCAGCGCTCACCAAGCACACCTCTGCGCTTCAATGGCGCCCAGCATGGATGAGAGCGGCAATGTGATCTGGATGACCCAGCACGACGAGCTCCAGACCACTGAGGCCGCAACACAGACAGATCCTCCCATGTCGCGCGGCCTGCTGACGGCCGCCATGTCGGTGCCTGTGATCTCGCAGCCACCGAGGTCATCATCTGGCGGCTACCACACGCCGAATCCCACCGACTACACGTCATGTGAATCGCCCTGTACTTCACCAAGGCCACCTTCGAGCCTCGGTGACTTGAATCCTGACGACTGGGAGGACATGCTTGAAGAGAACCACTGGATTCGTGAGCTGGCCGCTGATTGCCGCAGAGAGTTAGCTAGTTTGAATCAACAAGAACGGGGTGAGGACCCAAGAACCTCAAAAGCCACTGTTTCTCAAGAAACTCAAGATTGTAGGACGGCCCAACCTTCTGTAGGAACAGGCCAATATCGGGGCGCGGACCCAAGGACCGCAAAAGTTTCTAGGAACAAGGTTGGGCCGAAACAAGAATGGGCAGGGGACCCAAGAACCCCAAGAAGTGGGGCGGAGACCCAAGAACTCCAAAAAGTTGGTTTGGGGGAACCTAGAACCCTCATAGGCCTAGACTATCTAGCCCCAGAGGCTCCCGTAGCTGCATCTTCCTCCGCGGGTCCGCCCAATGGTCGCATGGCGCTGCTGGCTGCAACGTCGTTCGACGACACGATCTCACCAAGGCGGGACAGCGCCATCGAGAAGATGCAGAAGCAGCAGCGATCCAAGAGTGCCGATCCTCTCCCGAGGCACACATGGACATGGATGGTGAGCTTCAGCGATGAGGTGGAACACATCACCTTTGACGCTGAGGCCAGTGCAGGCGAGACTGAAGAGCTCAAGGGCAACCATGTGCACGGTCAGCGACCGAACCGAAAAGCAAGAGCCCGTGCTGACCCCATGTACAAGATGCCACCGCTTTCTTCCTCATTGGTTCTTCACTGCCAAGAGCCAAACTTGGCAATTGTCGACACTGGCTGCCAAAGGCAGGTTGCAGGAGCTGACTGGCATCAACATCATGCCCAGACGAACCAGCTACCTCGACTCTTCTTTGAGGAAAAGGCTCAGTTTCGCTTCGGTCCGAGCGCTGCGATCAAGTCGACGGGTCGCTATGCATATGCGTGTGGAGTTGGACATCAATTTGTGGTTTTGTTTTTTAGCCATGTAGATGTTGAAGCCCCTGCACTTCTTTCACGGCAAACCATGACCACCTTGGACGCTTTCCCGGACATCACCGCTGGACGTATGGTGTATCGTGCACTCGGAACCTCATCCCCTCTGTACCTCAGCAGCTGTGGGCACCTTGCAGTGAGACTTGATGAATGGCCCTCGGAGCTTCCTGTTTGGCCTTGTCAGCTACCATTCACACAGCACCAACTTCCTGATGTTTGGGCTCCGACGGCATCACCGGTGAAGGCTCAAGTTTTGCCTTCAGCAAGGCACCCAGCTGTGAGACCACCACTTCATGGCTCCGAAGGCACCTCCACCGAAATGGCTGCGCAGCTGGCGATACTTCATGGTGAACCTCCTGAAGTTTGTGGAGAACGTGTATCACACGGTGATCCACTATGCCTCGATCAGCCTGAGGCCCAACCTGAGAGACAGAGTGCTCCGCCAATTTGGAGTTCCATCGACGGCAGTCACCATGCTGACGACCACCGCAGCTCAGACAGTGCAGAACCAATTGCCCAATAGACCAGGTTAGACTATTTTTTGTCTAAGGTCTATTTTGTAAAAAATTGTCTATTAGATAACTTTTTTGTTGCCTAAGACAACATGATTTTTGGCTAAGACAACTTTTCAAAATTTGTTTAAGTCTATTTTGAAGAAACAGTCTTAGACTATTTTTGGCTGTGTCTGAGACCTCAAAACTACCACAGGCACTGAGGAAGTTTACTTGCAGTTTCATCATAGGCATGAGGAAGTTTATGTTACAAAATTTGCATATTATTGCAGTTTCAGTCCATGTGCATGACAAACTTCCACACTTGCAGGTTGAAACTGCCTACAAACTTCCATCAAACTACCTCCAAACTGCCACAAAAAGAAAGGCAGTTTTGAAAAACAGACGAGGTAGTTTCGAGGAAATTTCAAGGTCCTCGTTTGCAGCCGCGAAAATTTGTCTAAGACAGCAGATTTTTGTCTATTAGACAACTTTTGTTTTGTCTGTTAGATAACTTTTCGTCACATAAAGTTGTCTAAGACAAATCACAAAAATTTATCTAATAGACAAATTTTAAGAAAGTTGTCTATTAGACAATTTTTTGTCTAACCTTGTCTATTGGGTGGGGATGACCAAGTATCCTCACAATCCGGACACCTGCCAACACGAGCGGGGATTCCGCAACTATGGAGCAGCCGGAGTGAGCGTGAAGATCTGCGACTTCTGCGGCTACAGGGCAGTGATGAACGAGGGCACCCTGCTGAAGATCAACCCGAAGGCCAGTCCATCAGCGAAGACACCCTTGGGCCTGCCAGAATCCATGATGCGCACAAAGGCCAAGGCCAAGGCCACCGGCAAGGCAAAAGCAAAGGCCCTTTCAGCCACCTCAGATCCTTTATCTTCTGGCTTGGGACCTTCCTTGCATTCATGGCAGGACTCCTACTCGGAACCCACACCCTCGCAGAGTTGGACACAGCAAGTCTTCACCAACAACCTCATGCGCCAGATGCAAGAACAACTCCGACAAGAGCTCCAGCAGAACATGATGAATATGGCATACCCCAAGGGGACTATGCCCAAGGCGACTGCACCGCCTCCTGTGGAGACAGCTTCGGTCATTTCTGGCCACAGTTGGGATCAGGTGAACTGGGGCCAGAGCGCCAACCTTCAGGACGAAGCTCAATGGCAAGATCCGGAGTACGAGTGGGGAACACCGGCCTACGAGGACGAGGACCCCGACGAGGAACAGCCGGACACGGAGGCAATGTCCACTCAGGAGGTGGAACAGTTCGACGGCTAGACGCCTTGCTGCACGGCTCGCCTGACGAGCCCTTGACCTTTGAGGACCAAGGCTTCGAGCTCATGAAGCCTGGTCGACAGAAGAGACTTCTTGGCACCCTTCGAGGACTACAACGACTATGGTGTGTGGAGCACACAATCTATGAGAATTGCTTGGCATCAGCAATTCGTCTTC